CGTCACATCTCCCTGGCCGGCATCAATTGCGTACCAGTCTACAACAATCCCTCAGTTTTTCCTCTAAACTTTTATGCTCACATATTTTTGTGGCGTGGTCGCCATGTTGGAATTCCCGGCAACACAATACGCATGCGCAGAAGATCATTTACGACAAAATTGACATGTTTTGAGGTAGTTCAAAACGAGTTTTACGACAAGCCAGTGTTTTGCGAATATATAAGTCGGCAAGTTCCGGACAGAAAACCGATCTGTGGAGACTCGTTGTCGAAGTTTTTTTATTTTTTTATTTGAGAACAGGCGAAAACTAATGCACACGTGGATGTCATCCATAAAATTAAGTCGGTATGGCCTTAACATGCACAGCAAGACACAGGCTACCATAGTTTATCTCTTACCTCTTTCTGGTTAAGCTTAATTTGCATATTCATAGATTCTGGTGGATAATAAGGAGAGCCATGTGCAGACCATCGTACATCCACTGATGGTGGATTTGAATCAGGAACATTGATAACACTAAACACATCAATATTCTCGTACTTAGCAGGCAGATACTGGGACAAGGCCTGATGAAACAATTCTAACTTGCTTTCTCCATTGTCTGGTACAGATATGAATTCCTCAGCAGTCATATCATCAAGGCGAACAGATCCTGAACTCATAACAGCTTCTTCAGGTATTTCTTTGACAGTAACAATGACAGTACTATTCTGATCTGGCCAAACTCCATCGGAGACTAACACAGTAAATTCATATACTCCATCAGGGCAGCCTTCTTTAATGTAAGTCTGACCAGTGTCTTCGTCCACCTGCACAATTAAATAATTGATTAATATCTCAATTTTAAATGGCGATATGTTTTACAGTTACAGGAACAGTTGGAGAGAGAACTAATTCCTACCCAAAAATAGTCTGGAGCATCTCCTACAATATAATATGATTTATCATCCTTATCATCGGGATCAGGGGCGTATACTTCACCAACTGCACTCTCGGTCGTCTCACCTGCAATGTAAACAACAAGAAATATTTGCTTGTTCAAAAATCAAGGGCAAGAGTGGGTATAAGACTATACTGTTAGAATGTTTGGTGGGTATGGTTTTCTGAAAAACACGGAACTGGAAAAAACTGAAAACTAAAGAAATATATCTGATGGCAAGACACGTTAAATTTAATTCAAAATAAGCTGAATTTCATTGAATTGTATTTCAATTAAATTACATTCTTATATATGGCAGTTGTTCCAAACATCCAATTCCATGTTTTATAGAAAACCATGAGGGTATTTATAGTAAGTATGAGGCTTCACTGTAATGTTGTAGTATGAGTGAGGGGATACTGGTAGTGAGTGGGTGTGAGGCTCAATTGCAAAAATTTGTCAGCATGAGGTTATAGTATAAGGTGTTGGTGGATACGAGTCCAGGGTTCTACCCATAATTACTTGAGTGCTGGTCACTAATTAATATTCATGACTCATTAATATTCAAAATTGTCATCCTATTAGTTAAAATTTAAATTTTTTATTTAATAATAACTTTCATTTTAAATATTTCAATGTTAAGCTAATCTTGTTTGATAAAAATAAAGAATAGATACACTTTTTTTTCACAATCACGTCATCTGTCTGTCATGGTTGAATTGGAAACAAGAATTCAATCTGATTCTTTTCTAATGGAATGCTGGTAAACCACAATTGTAGTAGGAAATAATTATTCCTTGGGTTGCTCACTCAACGCAGGTTCTGGATTTAATGTTATGAATGAGTCGTGAAGCTAAAAAAGAATGATGTACAGGTTGATGCATCCCTGTTGGCGATGTCAGAAAGTTTTTTTTCTTCTTTTAAGTCAACCAATCTGGTTTGTTTTTTAAAACAGAATGTCAATAAGAGTGAGATTTTGTTCTGCTCAGAAATTCTGAGTGACGGATATTAACGAGTGATGAGGGCAATCCCTGTATGCGTCTATACTGCTGGAAGTAATATTGAATAAAATTGTTAGCGGGTATGAGGCTGCACAGTGAAGATATCTGATGGTGTGATGCTGTACGTGGGTGTAAGTGTGGTGTTTAACAAACAATTAGTTCTAGGATGCAAATTAGCAGAACATATCAGTTAGTTTAGTCAGACTTTAAAATGGTAAAATCTTTTGTTCTATGATAGACAAGTTAATGCACATGGTTGTCATCATTGACTGAAAACAATGTCAAAGTATTAGTAGTATTCATAATGCAATAGAACTACCGATATTTGATTATTATAATGTATTTCTTGTTTATTTCAAATTTACAAAAATTATGATGCAGATACATACACATCTTTGTGACTGTATTCATATACTTACTGTAAATACATTTAATTATTCACTGTTTTTAATTTCACTATTAATTTCACTAAGTAAAATTTGCTATTAAAATCAATCCCACATGTAAAATAACAATGGAACTCATTATTTCCCTGCCAAAAAAATTTAAATAGTGAAATCAAATGCTAGTAAAAATAAATGGTTTCAAAGTATTATATCAACTTCCTGTGCTAGGTAACCAAGAAATCCCATATCATATGGTAATATGTACCAAGAAAAATATCAAAATCACTGATGGAATAAGTCACAAAGTTGGTAGTACACTGGACTATATGTATTAATGGCATGCATTCAACATTCAATATGCATAGAATTATGACTAGACTACCGTCTAATGCGTCAGGATCCTTGGAAATAAGTTCTCCTAAACCAAACTCTGGCATTTCACCTGTATTAGGTTAAAGGAGTAGAAATGTTGAAGAAGAAATAAATCAGAAATATAATGATAGAGTGAAAAAAATAACAGTGGTACAAGATCTGTTTCTGAAAAGCATAGAACTGATTCAAAAGAAAACACCCCGACTAGAAAGACAGTTTATAATGGGATGACCTACACAGATGAATGTGGCATCCAAGAAATAACAGGATGATGATAACCAATATAGAGAAGGCATATGGGCAGAAAGGGGTGGATGATGAAGCAATAGCTTAAATAAATAAGTAGGCAAAATGAGACAGTAGACAGATTAGGTAGAAGACAGATTATGATGCAGTCAGCGATATGGAGGATTAGAACTTCCTCTTGATGGTGCTATCATGATGGAGTCTTCACTGATATCAAGAAGTAAGCAAAATAGACAACAAGGGGGAAGGATAAATAAAATATGCTTACCCTTATAGTTGTACACAAATATTTCCTTGGTTCCTGGAGAATGAGGATTATCATTCATGTCATCAATTTCGATAGTCAATGTTTCAGTTCCAGTTAAACCGTGTACATCTGCCATCACTACTGACATGTAATGATATTTTTGTTCTTCCCTGTCAAAGTCTATTTTAGTGTAAATTTCCACTTCATCTGTGAAAAATAAATAAGGTTAGTGTGCTGGTGACAAGACACATGAACAGCTACTACTTACAGAGCTCAACTTCTGTAGCAGGACAATATATAATGCTTACCACCAATCTGTTCAAATGTGAAGTTATCCAATATATTGTTCCAGTTGTCCACCCAGTATGTGTATGGTCCTTGATTGCCAGGTCCATCAGGATCAACTGCACGGATAGTCACAACATACTCTGGTGGCGGCGTATTCTCCATCACCAATGGTTTATAATCCTCAGCAAATGTTGGTGGATTATCATTTATGTCCAAAACTGTTACTTGGAATGTGGCATTACCAGTTAGGCTAGGGGGACCTAAAAAAAAACACAATTCATTGTCAATGGCATATTAAGTGTCTTTTTCGAGCTGATATTTTGGTACAACATTTTGTACAGCTTTGTGTAATTTTTAAAAATTTATTTAATTCTGGGCCAAAAGGTTATAATTTCCCACTTGAAGAGTACAGAATTTAGTTAATTTTGGGTATTTCAAAAGACACAATCACACTCATCAATGGAATTTTAGGCCTAAAACTTTGATCAGATCAAAAAGTTAAATTGTGAGCAGATTCCTTTTTTTCAAGATGTTCATCCTAACCTGTGACCGAAGTTGAACTCTATCTACAGTCTAACAGGCTTGAATTTGAAAGCCAGCATGCTTTATCTGATTAATATTGTCCTTTAAAAAATACAGATATTTCAAAGCCTAGCTGGTTTAGTACTAATTTTAACCTTAGAGAATGACAACATTTGTGACAAAATAATTATAAACGACCGCAAAGTTACTCACCATAATCTACAGCTTGTATTGTCAAATAGTGATATTCCACAGTTTCTCTGTCAAGTTCATTAGAGATTGTCACAATACCATCTTCAGGTCCAACATGGAACTGATTTTTAGGATTCGTTGATTCAGCAATGGTATAACTAGAAAGACAATTAGACATAAAACAAAATCTAATAGGTCTGATATGTTACGTCACAGCATCTTGAATTTTCATGGTATAATGTTCCAGCTCACTGCATATTACCTTGAAATGTCTTGTGTGAAAGTGGAAGTGGCGTTTGTAAATTGCGCCACCACAGTTAGAATGCAGAAATGTTCAGCCAATCATATTGTTTCTTCTATTTAGGATACAAAATATATAAATCAGGGTCTAAATTATATTTTGGTTTTCGTGTATGATGGATATCAAGCATAGTGCTAATTAAAAATTACTGTATAAATGACAACCAAAAATGTAATATCACCATACCAAGATAGATTGACCAAGGCAACTCACTCTAGTATAAAAAGTTAATCATTTTCAGATTGAAAAAAGGACACTATTCAGCCAAATCCAATCACAAAACAAAATATGAAATAATGTCTGTGCATGCTAGATAGACATGGTGAGAAGAAAAATGGTCGCCATCAGCAATCTTGAATCGGACCCCAAAAAATTGATTATCTTCGATCACCACACAAAGTTTAATTGAAATTGGCCCAGTGATACTTACTAAAATCTAGAATTATTGGTACTAGAATGGTCGGCATCAGTGGCATATACAGTACCCAGTATAGTATTCAGTGATGCGTTTTCATAAACACTTGCTTGATACAGGTTTGGATCAAATACAGGGGGATTATCGTTGAAATCTTCAACAGTAATTAGACATTCTGCTGTGTCACAGAAATCTGGATCACATACTTCCAATGTTAATGTAAACTGACGCTGAGTAATATCTTCATAATCCAACATCTGCAGAATAAAAAAAAGTGACAATGATTAAAACATATCAATAATTCCATTAAAAACAATTTAATTTGATTTTAAAATGTTTCAAAATTTTAGTCAAGCATTGCATTTAATGTATTTACTTACCTCTTGGATTTTAATAATTCCTACATTGTTGGCGATGTCATTATACATGTAGAAATGGTTACCAATATTGCCATCAGTGATTTTGTAGTCTAGTTGTGCATTGACACCAACATCCATGTCTAAGGCTGTGACTGTGAGAACTGATGCTCCAACTAGTAAGGATTCAGATGCAGCTCTATAGTATTTATCCTCCGTAAATTCTGGTGCATTATCATTAATATCCTCCAATTCTATTGTGGCTGTGGCAGAACCTGGTCAAAAAAAACGTTATTCAAAGTTATTCACTGCAAAGCAACTACATTTACCAATAAACCAAGATTTGACAAGATAGAGTTGAAGAGGTACTGAGGCAATCTGATTAAATCAGATTCAGGTACAAAGCTCAGATTATTTGATTACATTATTTCACTATATCAGTGCCATGAATACATTATTGTGGTTGGATGATACTCTGTAATGCTTAGCACAAGTTAAAATTTAGTGTAAACAAACAATGTAAATCATCATCCATGGGTTAAAGGGGAGCAGAGGTGTGGCTTTTGACACTCTGTACATGAAATTTGCGATCTATGAATGAATTCTGTCGATAAAAATAACTTATATGTACTGCGAAATGCCCTAAATATCGGGTATAAAACGGGCTGTGAAGCAGACGACAAACGTCCGCTTTTCCTGGCGTCATTTCGCGTCTAGAGGGCCAGTCAAATGACGTCATCGGTGAACACTGATAATTGAACCCATTCATGCTAGTACGTCAATCCCATAGAAATGCTACTATGAAAGAAAGACCTTGTTAACTGACTACTTAAAAGTTGAAACATGAAAAATGCCATAACGATTCATGTTATGTTTCTCGAAATCCCAAATAAAAAAATCACGTTGTTGGTTGCGAGAAATCGGCGGAAGAACTAACCTGAAAGTGAAGACAGTACAGCGTTCTGGCTATAGTGAACAGTGAGTGAATAAATATTGTACGAGTTAAAACTAAATGAGAAATATGCTAATATCATTTCAACCACAGTACTCATTTTGCCCAACTTCCCACTTTTTAAACGATCGCTTAATTTCCGACCGCATTGTGTTTTCCGACCGGAAAACGACCACATTTTTACCGTTTTTTTTTTCTCGCTCGCTTATTTAAAACACCGACCGCTCGCCCAAACATTGGTCACCGGCACAGGAGTAGTCAAAATGTTTGGGGATATACAAAGAAAATTCTGAACGGGTCTTCAAATCTATACCACTCTGTATCGTTCGCGAACAACTTCATGTGTGTCAAATACTAGAGCCGGTGCAATATTGTAAACAAACGCCATGATATCTCAGTCATATCGCTATTGTATACACTGCCTTTTTTTATTCTGGTTTGCACAAACGTTGAATAGCCGTCAAATATTCAAATATATTTAGCTTTTAAATATGTATAATTATATGCACACAATTTGACCCTTTGACCTAGATTTGATTGGGATGGAATATTTTATTTTAAACAATATTCTGAAGATACTTAAATGTTTCAACACAATTGCGGTATGACTGTCCGATTTACAAGTGCATATATTAATAATCATTCTCACCAATCGCTAGCTTAGGAGAAAGTAGGAAATCAAACAGCCGCAGGTCGACCGCCTTTTATGCATAGATTTCATGACGCCGTCTGACAGCAGTCGGGTACGAAAAGCTCGCACAGCAATTCACAGTTATTGTCAAGACAATGAATGAACAGAAAGGACTGGGAAATTAAAAAGATTATATTTCCACAAAGTTAAATAAATCTGGCTGCATCAAAA